GAAACACTTCTCACAGTTCACCCAACATCCAACCCACCAGATGGGTTCGCATGAGAAAAAAAAACTTCACCAACCTGGTGTGAAACAGTATCAAAAGTTCTTTATTGTAGAATATACACATGTGACATTATACAAACACGAGTGCATCTTAATCTAACAGTTGAAGCATGATAAATGGTTGACTAGGGCTGTGACTGAAAGCATCATTTCTGCTCTCTGAATTCTTTTACATTTTCTTGCAGAGTTTTAGACGAACACACAAACTTTTAGTTTTACCTTTAACGAGGGCGTCTATAAGTGTATTGACATGTTTTGTAACAAATTTCTTGCAAGGTGTCTTGAGTGGTTTTACATTCAGTAGATCACAAAATTTGTCCAGCATCTTCATGATTTTTGCCTGCAAGTAAAAATATATTTAAAGGTACACTTAAAGAAGAAACACACATATGGCAAAAGGTGGGCAGCACCCTGGACGGGTCTCCAGTTCGTCACTGGGTCACACATAGAGACAACCATAAACACCCCCATTCACTCCTAGCATCACTTTCAAGTCACAAGTTAACTAAATGGGATTTTATTAAATGGAAGCAGAAAACAGAGAACTTAGAAAGAGCCCATTCATCAGAGAAGAAGAACATGCAAACTTCACTTCATTTTGGTTTATCACAGAACATTTTGTAGACATTACCTTGCTTTTACAACTGCCAACCTTGTTTTGCAACTTGAACACAACGAGTTTGCAGAGTCCACAGGTAACCAGCGTATCCTGGAAGTAAAAAAAAAACACTTGAAAAAGTTTTACTTTTACGTATTAGCTTTCATAAGTTGATTCAAATTCATTTCATTTAATTTCTGTCACTCAGGGAAGAACAGTTCTTGACCTACTTAAATGACTTTGACAAGCATGAACCTCACCTTCTCTTTATCGACAACATCTTTTCCCTTTACAGAGGATTGGAATTGAAACGGAAATGTCTCACCCTCCTCAGTTTGGTTTTCAAGATGTTTCCGTGTCTCAACAATGGCTAAAAACAAAGTATTGATGCCAAAATGCTTAGATCATCAGAGAGATCAGAGACAAGATGAAGTGAGTAAAGGAAATGCATAGAAAGAGGTACAAATGATTGCATTCTTACATATGGAGAGCAGCAGAGTGATGAGGATCATGGCATGGCCCATGGTTCTCGTGGCTGTTTCGTCTGAGCTGATTTTAACCTCAGCTTCCACAGCCTCTTATACTTTGTGAAAGCTTGGGCAGTTTGCTTTTGAACTGCTCATGTCAGCGTTTCATTTTCAAAAACTGCCAAGCTGCCTGAAAAAGAGAGAAAAGGGTGTTTTCTTATTCTGCAACATAACGTGTTTTTAAACCAGCAGCTGACAAAGGGAAAACTATCAAACTCACGATGTTACAGCCAGAATACCACACTTCCATGTGATAAATGTCTAGCACAAATAAGGACGTATTTACCCAGAATGTGTCCAAAATTTCAGGTAATCTTGTGCAATAAAACCTTTCCCCCGCAAATTCAGCACAATGGATCTGTTTGATAACTGACTTCAAAATAGACTTAAGGCTTTAGACCATAGGTTTTTATGACACCTGCAGGGTCCAGAAGAGT